TCACAAATGCAGACATGGTTTTATGTTTATGCGGCGCGATGCAACACAACGCGTAAAAAGATAGTATAAGTCATTATAATCTGTAATCATGTCCCCACTGGATGCAACAAATGCCTCGTTTATAATGGGTTTGAATGTTTTTGTCTCATCGCTCCGGCCGGGACACGACATCACAGTATGGTAAGGGGCGTAACATTTCCGTCACACGCTTGAGGTATTCGGCCAATCACAATGCACTGGATAGCTGGCCAATCACAGCACACCTCTCTTTTCATACCGATGAGCTTTGTAAAAATCGACATGTTTCAGAAAGGCGGGGCATAGAGGAGAAACAATAATGTACAGTATGTGGAAAATAATGTGTTTTTTTAACCTTAAACCGCATAAACACATTTCATTACACCAAATACACAAAATAATGTTCTTTTTAGCAACATAATTTGACCCCTTTAAATCATTATTAAGGCTTGAATACCTCTGGTCCCAACCACTAGAATATGGAAATGAAAGCTTCAGTGAAGGTTCTAACAGGAAGACTCTAATGCCATGTCATTCCTTCATAACTATTAGAAACCCGGTTTTAGGGATGATTTTCTTTCAAAAAAAAAAATAAAAATCACATCTATAGGAAGTTCCTTTTCCCCATTCTAATATAATTATCTATCATTTAGTAATTTAAATGAGGCTATGACTGGACCTCTACAAGAGAAAGCATGGACATAACATTCTACTGCAACATACTGAACCAGCACCACACACTCCTCTGCAGAAGCCATACCAGAGGGGGTTAAGCATCAATAAATTATTTTCTATTAAACGTTTACAATAGTGTTTACTGTGAGTGCGCATGTTACAGCATGTGTCTGTGCTGATTACAAATTAATATCCTTTTGCTTTCAAGGGTGCAGTATGCTTTTGCAGCTGTTGTTGTTTTGATGAGAGCTTCCCACCAGTCATGTTCATGAGGTAAATCCCACTAATCAGCAATGTAGCCAAGAACTGAACAGAGAGAAAGACAAAGAACTTTTTTAAAGTTCTTACTTTTTATCTCTCCATTGTTCCAGGCAGTCTGCTGAGTATACTGAGAGTTTCAGTGCACTTATCTGGTTGCTCTTTTCCTGTCTGAGAAGAGCCCACCATCACACACTTACTCACACACACCTGTCAAATCTGTCAGAGGGAATCTAAAGTAGAGGGATACACCATACTCAGAAACAAATTGAATCTCCCCACTGTGTGAAGAAAAAAAATCTCCTTAAACCTACTCCACCTCCACAACACAGAGTCCAAATTGAAGACTTGAAAACCAGCAAATGCTTTTTGAGCAAATGAAACATTAGTTGCATATTGTCATAATTTAAAAAACAAACAAATAACTAAAATAAATATATTTACAATTCACTAAAATACATCATTTTAGTTAATTGTAGTGTGCAGTTTTGTTTTAGAAGAGTAGCTCAACTATTGTTAAACTACTAATTTACACTAAACTACTTAATTAGTTTTACACTAAAATGTCAACAATTTTTTCAAAAGTTGTAAAAGATTATTGAGTACATTTTACAAAAAAAAAAAAAAAAAAAAAAGTATTTTTACTTTTTTTTTACATTAATTTTACAAATGGGGATATCCCAAGAAGTCCCAAAAAGTCTTTGTAACTAGCTCACTTCTGGGAACAAATTTGTCCCTAAGACATGGTTAGTGAGGCACACACACACACACCACACACTTACTCACACACACCTGTCAAATCTGTCAGAGGGAATCTAAAGTAGAGGGATACACCATACTCAGAAACAAATTGAATCTCCCCACTGTGTGAAGAAAAAAAATCTCCTTAAACCTACTCCACCTCCACAATACAGAGTCCAAATTGAAGACTTGAAAACCAGCAAATGCTTTTTGAGCAAATGAAACATTAGTTGCATATTGTCATAATTTAAAAAACAAACAAATAACTAAAATAAATATATTTACAATTCACTAAAATACATCATTTTAGTTAATTGTAGTGTGCAGTTTTGTTTTAGAAGAGTAGCTCAACTATTGTTAAACTACTAATTTACACTAAACTACTTAATTAGTTTTACACTAAAATGTCAACAATTTTTTCAAAAGTTGTAAAAGATTATTGAGTACATTTTAAAAAAAAAAAAAAAAAATCCAGTCTTTCTACTTAAAAATTTCACCTCTACTTTAAAGTGTTACTTGCAATTTCTTTGTAATTATTTGTGAAAATTACTAGCAATTTCTGAGTGAAAATTGTTTCTACACTAATATTTTTTTATTTTATTTTATTTTTTCAATGTAGTAGTGCATTGCTTGGCAAGTTACAGTTTCAAAGTAGTTTCCCCATTGTTGTTGCTGAAGAAGCAGATGTGAGAAAGCGATCCAGCAGTTAGAACAAGCCTTTGGGAAACATAATCTTGTTTTTCAACGACTATCTGCTGTGTGTTACTGTAAAAATGTCCTCCTCCTCTCCTCTTCTTCAATTAAAGGAGTAACAGGACATGCTGACATTAGCTGTTTGCCAACTAATAATTATGAATATGCAAATCCTGAATATATTATACTATCAGCTGAAGTTATGATTTTGACTTTTATAAAAAGACTGCATATGAATTAATCAAATTAAGAGTAGATTTTTAATCTGTGCACATTACATTTGTAGCACTGTCAGTGATGCCATTAAAGAAAAGGCTGCATCACCTTGATCCTCGATACATAGATTCTTCAGCAGCCACTGGACAATGTCTGAGCCTGGAAAAGAAGAAAAGAAGGCTACTGTTCAAAATCTAAGGAGATTATGAGTCTCATTTTAAATAGATAAATGATAATGGGCTACTCTATAAAAATTTGAATCAAATCTCGATAGCAGGGTCTACTAAAGAAAACCTGAAATGTGACGTCAACTGAAAATAACTTTTTTTTTTCTTATTTATTTTAGTTTTATCTTTAAAATCAGCAAAATACTGTTTCATGGTTGGTAAGAAATGCTCTTTTTTCAGTTGTTTCTTCTAAATTTTCTCAGTTCTGGATGCTCCAAAGAGGATCTGAGTCTAGCAGAGCTCTGCTGGAGTATTTTGTGGATTAGCAGAATGTCATAATCTTCACCTCTGCACTAGTGTTAATTTTTGTCAGCCATTTTTTTATTTAGTCTTAGTCCTGTTTCAAATGTACTTTTTAGTTATTATCATATTTAGTCAACACTGTCCTGTTTTTGTTTAGTCAAGTTTTAGTCGACTAGGGCCTGGTTTCACAGACGGGATTAGGCCATAGTTCAATTAGGACATTTAAGTAATTTTTATTAACATGCCTTAGAAAAAACATTACTGGTGTGCATCTTGAGACAAAACAAAGGCACTGAAATATTTTAACATCAGTCAGTGCAAGTTTATTTCAGTTGAAACAGCTCAGACTTACATTTTAGTCTGGGACTAGGCTTAAACTTCGTCTGTGAAACCGGGGGTAAATGTCTGAGCATTTTAGTCTAGTTTTAATCAATGAAAACTTGTGAATGTGTGAAAACACATTTTCGTCATGCTGTATAATGGTTACTGATAAAAAAAATATTTTTGCTAAAAATTAGCAATGATTGTTGTCATTTGAGAAATTTGTTTTTACATTTCAGGTATTTCACTTTCACCAATAAGCATAAATCAATAGAATGTGGACTCATACAAATGGTTTATTTGACCTCATCTAGTGTATTGATTTATTAGGCTATTTATTGTATAAATGAATATCAAAGACTTAGATATCCACACTCTGTGTCTACATTATGAAAACTGACAAAAACAAACAAAAAATATTATAACAGTGAAATTCCTAATAGTAATTTCAATAATTCCAAAATGCAATAATCACAAACAAAATAGCTGAGATCTCATTACAGAACACAGACAGTATGAATGACACTTTCATTTAAGCTGAACATCTCACATGGAGATCGCTAAACTTCAGCTTACTTGTTTGTCTGCGTTTTCAGATCATCGTCGGTGCTCCCGCAATGAAGAGCGAACGCGTGCGTGTGGTTGCCAGATTGCAAAAATTAGGCAAAACACTGGGCAGAAAATGTATCCTTTTAACAGAGAAGCTCTGATGTTGGGATTTGAACTCTTAATATCTGGTGACCGCACACAAGAAAGCTCGCGTAGTAGAGGCATGTAAACATATTACTTTGTTTTCTTGTTTTCAACGAAATTAAAAAGAGATTTTGTCATAGTTTTTATTTTTTTAAATACATTTTAGTCTCGTCTTTTATCAACGTTTAGTCTCATCTTTTATCAATATCGTCAATGATATTGCATGTTGATATAGTCACAGTTATCGTTTATTGACCTTACTGTCGTTTTGTCATTATAAGTTCACCACTGTTAGATTGACATAAAAATCTTCACCTTTCAATGAATAGTTCAGCCAAAAACAAAAATTTGCTGAAAATGTACTCACCCTCAGGTTATCTAAGATGTAGATGAGTTTGTTCCCTCATCTGAACAGATTTGGAGTAATTCAGCATTACATCACTTGCTCACCAACAGATCCTCTGCAGTGAATGGGTGCCGTCAGAATGAGAGTCCAAACAGCTGATAAAAATTTACAATACGACTCCAGTCCATCAATTAACAACTTACGAAGTGAAAAGCTGTGTTTGTAACAAAAAAAATCTATCATTTTAACTGTAAACAGTTGCGTCTAACCAAAATACAAGTCCATAATCCATAATAATGCTTCCTCCAGTGAAAAAGTCCAACACGTTATACTCTCAAAGTCTACCGAAATACTTAGAACTGTTTTTGCTTGTAATATGCTTGATCTGTGCATATTTCTCTCCTGATTCAGACAAGACGACTTTTTCACTGCATGGAGAAAGCAATATGGTTAAAGGTATTTTAGTTGGAAGCAACAGTTTAAAGTTAAAATCATCTTAATGATGGATTTGTTTTTGTTTATTGCAAACATGCATATTTTTGCTTCTCAAGATGTTAATTGATGGACTGGAGTCGTATGGATTACTTGTGGATTATTGTGATGTTTTTACCGGCTGTGTAGATTCTCATTCTGACGGCACCCATTCACTGCAGAGGATCCATTGGTGAGCAAGTGACGTAATGCTAAATTTCTCAAAATCTGTTCTGATGAAGAAACAAATTCATCTACATCTTGTATGGTCTGAGGGTGACTACATTTTCAGCAACATTAATTTTTGGGTGAGCTATCCCTTTAAGTATTAATGGCCATTTTACAGTGAATAATAAATAAAGGGCGTTTCATTTAATTTCAAAGTTTTTGTGTTCAGTGTTTCGTTTTCAACCTGGTCACTGCTAAATTAATAGACTGTGAACTGTTTCTTCTGAGAAATACTGTATATTTCCGAGATAACCCTTACTGACCAATCAAATCCAGTAATCCCAAAATATGCACAGAGCCCCTATAGCCTCAGCCAATCGGCAGTGAGAGGCGTGTCCCGAGAGACAGTAGAAGCCAAGACCGTGAGACACTTTTTAAAGCATAGAGAGGCAGAGACTGGGGTATTAGAGCTTGAAGCTGGCCTTTTAATGAATCCTCTGGGGGATTGCAGTCAGAGGAATGAAAGAATACCCTTCTGAGAATTTCTAACTTGCTGTTTCATTCCTAATCCTGCCCTTCTAAAATGTATTATGGTATATACAGGAGTATAACATTTGCACTCTTCTGATATGTTAATAGTGCAATCATTATTCAATAAAAATGAAACATTCTAATTATTCTGTTTAAATGAATAATGGATCCAGTTATTTCCTTTCTTTCTGTTGTTTTCTTCTCAAAGATGTTAAATGAATATTCTTGGTTATGGACCACAGATAGAATACCACAAACAATAATTTCAACTCATCCCTTCTTTGTGAAAATTAACTGTAAAATTATGGTTTGTGGCAAATGACAGCATGCCACTGATGTGGGCCATAAACATTAGCTTGAAATGAACCTGGAATATTCGATTAGCTGCATTTATAATAGCTGTTTCCGGCTGTTAGAATGAAATCTAAATAACTATAATGAGTCAAATCTTCCAACCAACCAATTCAAACCCTGTGATTTATATCCAGAATTGTGCTTCTCCACCAGAGCAATGCAGGCCAGAGACCTTTTATAGAGATCAGATAATCAACAGAGATCAGTACACGAAGGGCTCTGGTACTGGCGCTGCACTACAGAGTTCTGGCTGAGTTTTCATTGTGCTGGTCTTCAGGCTTGCTGTGGGGCACTGCCTCTTGCTGAATCCTGCTTTCTCAGTGCCAGCTTGGAACCGCAGTGTATATAAAACAGATGTAGGGGAATTACCAGAGAAGACACTGGGAATCTTGGATAGGAAACTCTTCACTGTACGGATAGGTATGCCGTTTTTTTCATCCTGCATCCTGGCAATCACATCCTCCATCTGAACAATAGAGAGAAAGACACATGAGACTAAATTAAAACATATGTGCTTGTAATTCTCCTGCAACACGGGAAAGAAATAAGAATAAAAATGAGTGTCAATATTCCATGAGGTTGAAAATATGATTTTTAATTTATAATATTTTTTTAATAAAAATATTTTCATTGCAAATTTGAATTGCATCCAATGAAGCAAACACCTTTCTTTCTGTTAAAATTCTTATATAATATAATATAATATAATATAATATTTTCTAGATTTAACAAC